AGAGACTTGAAATTTGAAACATAGCTCACAAATGGATGACATTGCAATATTATATAATTTAATTTTCATATTTCTTTTTGGGCTACGCCCCATGGGCTTGTTTTTATTAGCTCGCTTTCCTACAAATTTTGATATCAATTTTAGACGATGTTCCCGATAACCTAGAGACTTGAAATTTGAAACATAGCTCACAAATGCATGACAATGTAATATTATATCATTTAATTTTCATATTTCCCTTGGGCTACGCTCCATGGGCTTCCAAATTTTTCATGTTTACATTTTGAAAGAATGTAAATAAATATATCAATTAATTTAAGTCAGCTGTAAATACTTAAATTTGACAGTTCAAAGAGCAGAGGTTAAGAGGTACAGGTTATGCTCCCAAGAGATTCTTTATACAAACATTTCAAAATATAGATAAACAATCTGATTGCAGATATAAAGATGTTTGTTAATAATGTAAATTGTTATTTATTTAATGTTCTATAAAGTAAACAATAAATTATCTAGATTGATATATTTATAGTTAGTAGGTAGGCCATACATTCAACCTAATACATAATTATATGAAAAGAAACTCAAATAAACCTTAGATTTCCCACATGCCTTTGTCTTAATCTGATATAGATGCTTGAAATAGATTTAACATCCTCACGCATTAAAAAACTAAAAAATAGAAAATAATTTATAAATAAAAAACTTTTTTAAACAAAACGTTTTTAAACGCCCTAAAAAGTAGAAAATAATTTACAAATAATTTATAAATATGTTGAGAGAGTATAAATACTTGTACGATTTAAAACGAAAAACGTGGGGTGCATGCAATAGATAGTTTACCTTCACCTACTGAACTAATATATTATCAATTAATTGCATGCACCCAACGTTTTTCGTTTTAAATCGTACAAGTATTTATACTCTCTCGACATATTTATAAATTATTTGTAAATTATTTTCTACTTTTTAGGGCGTTTAAAAACGTTTTGTTTAAAAAAGTTTTTTATTTATAAATTATTTTTTATTAACTGATTAGTGTAGGTAACGATTTATGGTGTGTAATATTGCATGTAGTTGTTTGTATAACATATTGTAGTTCTCTTTTAAATGTTAACATGATACATCATGTCCGAGTGCTGCAGACAATGATGTGACTGTATTACCTGCAGTTTCTAGGAATTTACCTATAAATCCTGCTTCGTTTGATTCATAAAAAATAAACTACGTGGTGTAAAGATTCTTGAGTAAAGTTAATTGTGATGAACTCAATTAGTTATAATTTAGTTTGTTAATTAAAACAAGACTATACTCTATTCAAACGAGATTTATTATACAATTTACTTATTACTATCCTACAAATTTAAAGAAGCACAGTTAAGTACACCGAACGCTTTTTAAAACGTAATTTACTCAAGAATTTGACAACAAGATGATGTTTTGTGTGGTACCTGCAGTGGTTAAACTTGAGAATTGGAAAGCATTTTCTAAGAACCTAAAGTCAACATTATTTTCAGAAAGTATTTATCAAGTTCATTTAAACTCAAATTGGATGATTTGGCTGCATAAGTTTTAAAGTACAAGGGATTTCAAACCACTAGGAATTTCAAATCATTATCAAACAACTGTTTCCTTATTTTCTAAATTATTGAGAAAGTGTTTTTATGATGGCAAACAAAAATATGCTTGCAAAGAGAAACATTGTTATGCAATACTGCTCATGCAATGCAAGTGTATGCAACATATACAAGCTTATTGGTATTGAAAATATACAGTAGTGTGTGTGTGTTCAGCATATTTTTTATTGTGTTTTTGCTGATCGTTTAACCTACTAACTCTCTGTGTGTTTACTCGACTGTATACACATTATTGTTAAAGGTAAATACACAGTTGGTCAATGTCTCGTGCGGTATGGATTTTTTATACAGGGTGGCTGAAAAGTACCTTGCACCCCTTAATATTTTTAAGATTCATGAGATATTTTAAATCGGTTTGCAGCAACCTTCTTGAGGGCACACATTAATGATGTTACCCCTGGTTTCACAGCTCAGGGGTAGTTGGTATAGGTAAAAAGTATAGTTCATATAGCAAGTATAGTCAACTTTCATAAAATTTTACAGGTCTAAACAATTGACATAAAGATGGATCATTAGGTGGTAGATCACGCTATTTTAAACAGTTTTCATTGTGTATATTACATTGATCTTCAATATTTCTACTTAACACATCAATTCCTCACATCCACTCCAACGCTACTCCACTAATGGTCTACCAGGAATAATAGTGTAATGCAAATATGCGAGGCAAAAAACATGTTTAGAGGTCAGTTCCTATCAATCGTTTGCCATACTAACTAACACACCATACTAGCAAACATCATTTAATAACTCAATAATCCATTTACTCAACCAAAGTGAGACATATTTACATGCATCGCTTACGTAGACATGTCAATAGGCTTAAAATAATAAAATTAACTCATTTCGTTTCTAGGGACGATTTAAATTATAGCCGTCGGTCAGGAAGCTGCTGATACTGTAATGACATGCATATTGGACTATTGACGAGAATGCAACAATAAGCTAAAACCTTACCTAATAAATAAACCGATGAATAATAATTTCAATCCATGTGATTGCCACAATATAAATTTACAACTGTTTACAACCGCTGATTTTTGCTTCCTAGGAAGTTATGTTATATGTTTTCGTGTTAACCAAACCAAAGCAGATGTACCTTGGACCTTTACAGTAAAGCTATTGCAGCTTCACATAACTTACCCTTCTTCCCTCAACTCCCACACCACATTTCCCTGATGGGTCTCGCTCGACTGGTTCCCAATGATGGACAGAAAGCCTAAAAGCGTGGCTGGCCAGATTAAGATGGCCAGATTGTCGTAATGAAGTGTTTGCCGAGGCAGGGCTCTGCTGCTCCGCACCGTGCCGATTTATAGAGTATTAAGTTTGCGCGATAAGAGATGGGCCCAATTTGTGCCAGCCATCGTCCATCCCTTTATAGCCTATAAACAGGTTCATAATGCGTCCATTTGGCTATAAATCGCCCCGATATTCCTGTATCTTCGCATTACAGCTATGCCTTTTAGGCTGACATTGTGCATGAATAATAATAGCTAATACGGTCGGCTTTATGTGCTACTAAATTTATCTGATGGCCGGACGAACATCGATAAGTTTTAGGATTCCTGCATTCATTTCCAAAAATTAGGCAAAAACTTGTAACCTGGTCGAAGGCGTTGTCTGATTGGTGATTGGAGTTTGGCTAATCAACAATGGGGCGGGATACATGTAAACTGGATTATATATAGGTAATTAATTAATTTGTTGTCGAGTACCGCCATGGTGACACGTTACACCTATCAGCAATTTTAATAATTGATGAATATTACTGTTCAAGTAGACTAAATCGTTTTGTAAAATCTGAACTCATTTTTACGTTTGTTTCCTGTTTGATAACGCTTGAGTGCATTTAATGTAGATTACACTTGTATTAAAAATGTAGGGCATGTCTTATGTTTGGTTATAGTTGTACTGCAGTATGGACAATTTTGTTATTTTAACAAATAGAAGATATCGACGAGTCAAACTTTAACCGGACAACATATATTAAAGATTGTATTCAGAAAGATCTTTAAGAAAGACAAATACAGGTTAAGATGAAATAGGGGATTCTTGTGTTTGAAATATGATGTTATGACACGCTAAAACTATCTCAGAAGTTGAATTCCTATTAGAACTTCTTGTCTACAATCCCGAGACGATGGCAGTGAGATGTGTAGATGTAAACAAGTTAAAATATCTCTCATACATAGATTTTCATAATTTTTGTGTCAGTTGCATAAATTGAATTTAATTTTGAAAGTAAATGCAGCAAAAATATTCATCTAAATAAGTTTGTAAATATTCCAAATTGGCTGGGCTTCTTAAAAAGTTCTATAATTTCATTGACTTAATATAACGGTCAATTAATTAATTTTCTTAATTTTCTAGTTTTGTAAATTAATGTTGGCCCTATCACAAACTTCATTAAACGTTTAATTGTGTTAAAACATTTTCCGATAGCTACTCCTTCTCTACGATAAGTATCTCAGTCCAGACAATACCCTGTTTAAAATTTTATAATAAACTACCTTTTTTCATTTGAGATGTACATGTTCTTTGTCCTAGTAGTCTCTAACCTGGGATTGTCTTTCACATTACTGCAGGCTAGACCTAGGGGTACGGTATTATCACCTAGATAAAAATGATTTGGCGTGATTTAAACCAGGGACTTCAGTGACCGAAGACTTGCGCTATACCATTAGACCAGCTCACTCCTCATCATTTGAGATACTAGGTAACACAAGATTATCACCAATCAAATTTTCTTTCTTAAATAACTCAAAAACCATTGATTTTACAAACATTTTAAATGGCCGCCATTTTGCTTTATGAATTTGAATAATCGTGATAATTTTTTGGTAGCTTTGTCTAGTAGTCATAAATGTTTGTGCAAAGTTTCCATTTCGTATGTTTAACCATTCTTTAGAGAAAAAATTAATAACTGAAAAAAAACAAAATGGTGGCTGCGTGAGTAACTAAGGACTTCCGGACAGTTTAATTTAAATATGGTATTTAGGTACGTTTTTTACCCAAGATCAATGCCCTAAAATATTGGTAGAGAGTTCCGGGACACCCTGTATATGCTTTATAGTAACTGTAGGAAAAATATAATGTGTAACGCGAGCGCAAAGTGCCTTTGCTGCACTCGAGAAACTTTCCACACTCATGAGCAACAAATTGCCACCTCGCACACTAGTTACACAAATAACTATTATACATGACGACATTGTTACTATCTCACATTAAGTTTTACCATGGAACTCTCAACATGGATCCGGGATGAAATAATCAATACCACGGTTAACAGTTTACTTAGCAAATGTAAAAACAGTAAAAGTGGAACAGTTTAGGACCATGGAGCATGACAGAATGAGGAATGTATGAAGTGGGCCAGTGGGGTCTAACGGTCGTGGAGCGAGGCGACAGAATCGATTATCCTCTGGAAGGTGGCGGGGTGTAGACCTAGGAAGGGACGACCACGGAGACTGCGCGAGGACCTGAGGAGGAAGTCGCTCTCGGACACTTCGGAGTTCTCCACCTCCTTGAGGAACGTGTACTTGGCGTAGTAGATGGCGGCGAACGTGGAGTACAGGAGGATGGCGACTGTCACCAGCTGGAAACGTCGGTAAAGTGATTATAATGGAAGTCAGCTGATTTGATTGTTGGGTTGTTAATTGATCCTGATTAAATAAACAGCTGATGTTAGTCTGTTAAAAAGATACACAATGTTTGACTATTCGTAGATGTAGGCATTGCATTCGAATGTTTACAGTGAAGCCAGATTTAGAATCTAATATTGTAGTTGAATTGAGCCTCTAATGTAAATTACTGTTTTCTGTAAATGTATCGACTTTTTAACCAAGCCAAACTGACAAAATACTACAAATCTTTTTATCAAAGGAGATGTAAGAATTGTATAAAATACTTGTTTATATTGTATGTTACACCATATATAAAACACTTGAAGTCGGGGATGTACAGCAACGTTACTGCTGATTTCAAATCTCCCCAAACACTCTCTAAGGGCTACCTTGTTGTAAACCATAGCATCTTTAACCTTTCGTAAACTGGCATAGTACAAAAATTAAGAGTCAAGGGATTTTAGCGAATTTCCCTATAGGAAGTAGCTATTACCGTAGGTCTCATGGTAAGACTTAGGCCCGGGACCGATTTACTTTTTCATTTTGATGTCCCCAGAGGCCAAAAACACCATTCGTTCAAATTTTTATATATGTATATATACATATATGTGTGTGTGTGTCCGTGAACACGATAACTTGAGTAATTTTTATCCGATTTTGATGAAATTTGGTTTGAAGGTGTAAGGCGGGATAAACTTGAATGGGAACAGGGTTTTATGGGGTAAAAATAGGTTTTTCTCACTTTTGACCCTCAAAACACAAAATTTCCCAATTTTTCTCTAAACCTTCTTAAAGAGCTTAAAAAAACAAACAATTCAGTATATCAAAGTGTTTTTGTACGGTTATTGGTTACGGAGAAAACTAAAAAAATTGTAAATTTAAAATTTCCATGTTATTCTTATGGAGAGTATTGTAAAATGTTGTAGTTTGCTTGTTTATGGATATCTTTTGATAAAACTTGGCAAATATATTCATTTTATACTAAGCAATAATTATTTTACTTAAAACACACACTTTATTAGTTTCCTTGTAGCAGCAAACCTAGGTACTCGTTAAACCTATTGTTATTTAAATAGATCGATTGAAAATCAATTCAAACAAATGGAAATTCGCTTAGACAGCAGGTTTGCTGTGGCGGGGGTATTTAACTGTGGCACACTCTGCCGTTGCTTTAAATGTGGCTTATTCAACCACGTTTAAAAAATGGTTAAAGATGGTTCATATAGATGTCGTATTTAGTATTCAAAGTCAGTGATCCTGTTTAGAGAAACAACTAAACTTAGTCAGTAACAAAGCTACACTATTCCCCTCTCTTATTCCAACATCCAACACTCTTCCATTTCGGGTTAAAATGTGACTTTATAGCGTCCTTATAGTGATTAGTTATTTTGGAAGTTTACGTAAACTTCGGATGAATATGTCTATAATGACTTAAAAGTATGGCAGGATATTATAAGCGTAGTCAATAAAACAAAATTATAGTTTTGGTTGATAAATATGAAGATTGAGCGATGTAAAGGTAACACCACAGGCAACAAATCATGATCCCAGTTACGAGTGTGAAAAGTTTAGAGCTGCACAAATTTAACGAGGTGACAAAACTCGAAGCGGTTAAAATCGAATCATTATAGAGCCTGACATGTAAATATCATGCCTTGTTATATACTTATGCTGTAATTAATATAACCGTAAATCAAAATGTCGTGCATTAATTCTTTTCTTGAAAACTATCCTTTTAGAGGCGAGTGTCGGCGTCTGCGAAGCCGCGAACGCAGAAACACCATCACCGTAAATCAAGCTACGTCCGCAGCAGAATGCACTTGTAGCGATGCACTTTGTCTTTTACGACAACTTCAAAGTGTGAATTACAACGCCATAGGATGTCTGAGTCTGAGACGATTGTGAGTCTCATGCGCAAACTGAACAAGAGTGGGAGTTGTGGGAATAATATTAAAATATTTACGATTTCGCATTTTGAGTTTGTAAGCTTAATTAATTTAATCGAATATTTTTCCTCTTCAATATACGTCATTGGGATGATAATAAAGCAATAACAAATAAGTCTAATTGATCTGTAAAGGACGTATCAAAATTACATGAAACTGGCTGGCTTTGCGTGGTATGGTTTGAACTATTATATTTACCAACGCTGTGTCTAGAAATGGTGCAGTACATACTTATAGATACAATAAGTCATAGTCATTTGTGTTACAGTAAGTTTATCTTTAGTTGTGACTCAAATAAAGATGAAGTTCTCCTTGCCATTACTGATAATGTCTTGCTATTGTAATATTTTATTTTAAACGTAGATACCGTACTTAGAATGAGATCCGAGCTATCTTGTCACGACTTGATCCATAAGTGATTAAGTGGATTTGAAAACAGAATTCCCGCTCCAAAGTTTAGGTACCCGCGTACCAGACTGACCAACTTCTACAAGTGAAATGCTATGGTGATATATTTAGAAGTTTTTCAAGACGTATCTTATGGATGGATGTATCTATGGCGCAACATGCTCTATTGCTCTATTCTGCTAGTTTACTGAAACTGGCTGGGTGAGTGGTTATAGCGCTTAATCGATAGGTTGCCGGATCGATCCTGAGTGTGTAGCTTTTTGATGGTGCGAAAATGGACCCAGCTGTTCCTGATCATCGGGCTTTAAATAATGACCCTGGCTAAGCTGATCTTAGTCACAAAGCTTCACAGATATTCTCACTCTATTCTACACTCATTCTTCATTCATATTTCAGGTGGCGTCCCCATCTCAATTGATAATGATAGTTAATAAAGATAGTTACCTGGAACACCGCCCAGAACTTGTAACTGCCCTCATTGATGAGGAAGTCGTAGTATGAGTTGGTGACTACGCCTAGACGAGGCTCCCCCGCACTGCTGCTGTAGACACAAACAGATAAACATACAATCATGCTTTCGTTTTTTGCTCGTGTCTATGCCAGTGGCATTTTCAATTGAGTCATTCAAACATTTTCAAGGGAAACTGGTCCAACCCCATCCAAAGTTTTGTGGATGACCCGGGAATCGAACCCATCACTGCCGCATTGAAGTCCGCGAGACGTTAACTACTAGGCAGCAACACACCCAAAAATAGAAGGGATGATGCCCTTGCTAGGAGTTTGTTTTGATAGGTCTTACTGTTTACTTAATGCGCAGTTTAGTTTTTGTTTTGCCATAAAGAAGAGCTAAAAAAAAACTGGTAGGGTTACAATCGTGCAGAGTAGTTGTACGTGAGTTTGTGGAACTAACTTGAAGCTATCAATATGAATAGAAGTAAACATCCATTTTCGTATGACAGTTGTAGTTTAAGTACTAATGTAGTTGAAATTGAGCTTCTGACACAAATAGCACACAGAGGACTACTGTACTGATTTCTGTCGTATCACAGTGTCTGTGGTCGTATGCAATAGGGGCCTACAAAGTAGGCTTAGGCTATATACAACCACGTCAAACCACAGACTATAGAACCAGTTGTCAGGCTGAAGAGGACGAAGTCCTAAAACAGCCTCAGTCCAGTAGGATTTCAGCTTACTGGATTGAAACGTCACGAAGAAGAAGAAGACCACCTATTTTAGATTATAGCAATTCTAGTTTTCTGGCAGTACGTACAGTGTTTGTGGCATATCAACTGTAAGAGTATCAAATTTTTTTTAAATGATAGGTTTGCCAGTGCACATCTGCCAGAGGGGCATAAAACTGTTTCCTAATTTTAAAATATGACAATAAATGGAATGTCCATACTTATCCATCCAAATGTGCTAGAAGGCAATCTAAAAAATGGCTATTGGACAATGATAGTTACTGGTTGGGGCCATTGACTTTTGGAAACTATGGTAGACATTCCATTGACAAGTCTAGATGTAGCTAACTTTTAAATCAAATAGAACATGAACTTCCTTTCCTGTCTTAGTTTTGTAATTTTATTCATTAAACTGACATAAAAAGATGCTACAACAGTTAACAGGAAGTTCTCCCCTTGGGTTCACACGGCTTTAAAAGCTGTTTTATTTAACTGAAACCAGTTACTTACGTCAGCCAATTCAATTTGTAAATTGCTTGATTCATTTATAATTTTATTGACTTTTAATGAAAACCCGGTTATGATTTTAATATGGAAATGGTACATGAACTACACTTCTTAGCCAAAGATAGTGCGATAGACATTTCATCTGAATCGACCATCCAATTTGGAATCAATCTGTAACATAGATGTGAGCTCTTTACATAGGTTACCTCCCGCTATCTCCGCGTCCCGCCACCTCCGTGTCCCGCCACCTCCGAATTTCAGAGTGACCCCAATAATTCTCGGTTACTACTTGCGTTAAGACTTTCCGTCCTAACCTAACATAATCTAACTTAACCTAACCTAACCTAACCCAACCCGCGGGTTAAATTTTCATTAAATCTTCCATCCACGGGCCGTGGATGCAATTACAGCTACTAACGCAGGCACTGACGGGATTTAGGGTCACTCAAGGATTCGGAGGTGGCGGGACAGATTTGGGTTCGGAGGTGGCGGAACGCGGAGATAGCGGGAGCACACGTTTACATAGTATGCTGATAAAAATCTCTTTTATCTTAACTTTCGATACAATCAATGATAGTTGATGTAACATAAAAAATACTGGGTTTACTTTTACTCCCCCCAAAGATTTAAAGTACTGGGGTTACTTTACTAGATCCAAAGTATAACGCACTACACACTATTCTCAGGTGGGTTGCTTTTTGATGGTCCTAAACTGGACCCAGCTCATTCATTGGGCTTTTAATGGTCCTTACTAATGAAATAGTTGGTCTTAATCAGTAACAAAGCTACAAAATGCATCACACTTCATTGTACACTCATATTCGGGTTAAAATACGCACCTAGCATCCCCATCTGAAATGATAGTGATATTGAAGTTACCTGTTTTGTAGCCTATCCAGTGTGCCGTTATGTGTGGGGTGTAATCTCTGTGAGTGTATTTGGGCCACCACACACCCGCAGAAAACTGTCAACACGACGCCGTACTGCATCTTCGCAACATCAACCTTTGCAACACACTAGATGTCGCACCACGGTGGTAACACAATTAACATCTGGTAAACCAGAGCTACCGCTAACTCCACACTTCCTATGTAGTTCAATACACTCTAAGATGTTTGCTCAATATACAATGTCATATGGTAATGAGGAATGAGGAAAATTGATGCTTAAATTTGGGATGGCAGATTTTGTTTGATTTTCACTCGGATTTGAAAGCAATATTGGAAATTTGTGTAGAACATTAACAAGGGGTGCACTTTCATTATACCGAACAAAAAAGTTTAAAGTACGTTGTCGAGTTAAAGTAGTTCTATTTATCGCTAGCCTGAAAAGAATCAGCTGTAGTTGAGGATATCAGCTGTAGTTGAGGAAATCAGCTGTAGTTGAGGATATCAGCTGTAGTTGAGGAAATCAGCTGTAGTTGAGGATATCAGCTGTAGTTGAGGATATCAACTGTAGTTGAGGATATCAGCTGTAGTTGAGGATATCAACTGTAGTTGAGGATATCAGCTGTAGTTTTTTCTTGTGTAACAAATTTCAACGAAAATGATGTCCTAAGATAGTTTTGACATCTCACCATGCATTTTCATTAACATATTAATCGTAATATGATACACCATATAAATACCCTGTGATCGATTTTAAGACTAAGCGAATGAAACTTATTTTAGATTTTTCAACTTGAATGTCTTATTGCTTTCACGTAGGAATATCTAACTTTCCAAAACGAAATACATTTTGGACTGAATTTGTGCCGGAACGGAGCTATGTTTAAATTCAAACTATCTGACGCAAGTGTATACCAACACTTGGTATAGGATTAGTTCTGTGAACCTATACAGCAACATAAGACAGCTAGGACATTGATGTAAAACTATATTTTACGAATATATTCACATCGCGCTAATATGTAAGAGAACTGTAAGAGTATAGTTTAAAATAATCTTATATGAACACATAGATTATAAACTAATTATTGTTATTAAATTTGGTATAATTGGTATATTGTTTATGCAAAAAAGCAATGTTTGAAAAACTATACAATTACGTGAGAATTCCCCCCTTTATTTTCAGTCACCCTCATCATTGAGTCAGGTGAAATGTATCTTCGTGCATGTCTAATCGTCCGCTCTGTCCAATAATTGCTCATTGTTTCGTCCATCTAGTTTTTGCTGATTATCTTAGCCACCACTCGCAGTACTTCTTTATCTAACAAATTGAAATTGCCTGGTACTTGTCTGAAATGGAAAGTTGAACAATCTTTTGAAATTTATACCATCCTGTATAACCACAACAATAGCCAATCACAATACATGATTGCTCTTGGATACTCATTATCTTTTAAAGTAGAAATAACTAACAATTAATTAAGAGTAATGGCGAATAACATGTTTTAGCAGCCAAACTAAGTACATCTATAGACAAATATTTTTTGTCTGTGGTACATCTGAAATCAAAGTTATATCATAGATAAACTATACTCCCCTAGTAGATTTCTCATCCTTATGGAACAGCTGAAGCCAGTTTTATTGTTTGTTCTGCCTGGTGCAATATAAAGATCGTGTTTTGTTTACAATTTGTTTCTGGTTATTTCAGTATTTAAAACCTCGTTTAACCAAATAAAATGATTAAGGAACGCGGCAGCGTTCCGCCCCGCCAAGTCCCCCAGCGGTACACAGCTGCTGCAGTGTATATATACATGACGTGACAAAGTGGCTTTTTTACTCGTCTATAGCTCTGAAGAAACAAAAGCTATTAAAATAATTGTTCATCCACTGGATAGGGGCAATCATTCTTGGCAAAATAAAAAAAAGAATTTAAAAAAAGGTTGTGTTTGAGCCAAGAAAAACTAGTTTGAAAATTCACAAATTTTCCGTGTTCTCCTTCTTCTCCTTAAATGTTGACGGACCTACAGCCCAAACCACTGGCTCAATTTTAATGTTTTTTATGTTGTTTGAAAGCCCTTAGCGTGTAGATGTGCCTTTTGAGGGTCACAAGTCGGTGCGTTGACCCATAAACCCTTGGCAAGCCCTCAAAGTACGATTTTGGCCCATTTAAATAACATGGGATTAAAATCAAAACAAAAGAAGGATCAGCTGCGATTAAATCTCAATTAATTTAAAATGTTAGAGAAATTCATAGGATCAGCTGAAAAATTATTTTAAAACTTTTATAAAGTATTTTTTTTTTAGGTATACCGAATGATTTGAGCTACTTACTATATAAAATTACTTAGAGCAGTGATATTCCCCGATACTTTCCATTGAAAAATGCAGTGTACCGATGGTACACTGGTACAGCAGCTCGTCATTTTTAACAGTTTAATACTACTTATCAAAACATATGAAACCTAGGAACTTGAAACTTAGTACTAGTACTAAGGTTAGTTTTAACATTGTTTCTTCATAATATTGCCAAAATTTATTTAACTAAATAAGGTTAGTTTTATGTTTTGATACACTAAAACAAATAAAACAATCGGGAAAATTCGTCTACGTATGTTAAACAAGCAAAAAAGTGAATGTAAAAAGTGATATGTAAATTTAGGATAAAAATGAGTTTTTCAATATTTGTTTTGCCTTATGCTATTTCTAACAAACCTAATCTGTTTGATTACATTTTTACTTCTCTAATAAGGGCTCAATTTACACTAGTCTTTAGATATACGGGTTTAATTATCGGAACACTTATGTAACACCAATGCATTTTATGTGTAGTTGTGCCCTGGTCTATATAAGAGAAAAGAGGATTTTTATTTTAACTGTTAATTTTCTACAAAAATAAATACAATCTAACAAAAAACCACTAAGTGGTAACACTTCCCCCGCCAAGTCAGCAACCCAAAAAAGACAATAAATCACCACTTTTCCGCCAAGTAAAACAATGTAATGTATGTAAGTTTGGCCACTTGGCGGCAGACTTTTGCTTGATCACTTTAAAAAATACCATAAAATTAGTTTCATTGAGCAAGTATCTCTCCCAATAGTACATTGCTAGATGAGAGCTTATTTTACAAAATTTGACCTTATTTGTGTCACATTTCATAAAATCATAATAGTGATGGTTTTATATTTACCGATTACCTCGAAATTATTATACTTAGTTGGACTAATTAATTAGAGAAGTTGATTTGTGAAATTATCCACCAACGTAACTTTAATGAAAAAAAAAACAAGCAAAAGTCTGCCGCCAAGTTGCCAAACTTACATACATTACATTGTTTTACTTGGCGTAAAAGTGGTGATTTATTGTCTTTTTTGGGTTGCTGACTTGGCGGGGGAAGTGTTACCACTTAGTGGTTTTTTGTTAGATCTAATCATAAACAATAACTCTTCTCCTATTTCACTAAAGCACAAATCATGAAATTAACCCTAAATTAATAGAAACAAAATTCCGTCGACACTAGTGATTTGTGGCACCGGACATGAACTAGACACGAAAAACGAGCTTCAAAATTTACAATGGGATGGAAAGTCTACTTCTGTTGGTTAGTCTATGGTTATGGTTATATCTATGATCAGTATTACTTCGCTTTAAAGCACACCCCGTTGATCGAGGCGAATCATACATACTCTTTTATTGATACTGTAAAACTGTTTATTGATATTGAACAAAAATACAACAAAAATTACAATCCATAGATAATGTAAATTTTGCCATGGTATGTTTTAATTTGCATAACACAAAATGTTCTACAAAACAACCAATTGATTTAGTGAGTGGTCAAATGCTTTACACGTCCGTAGACAACTCGCAAATGGGTTTTCCTACAATTACCCCAATTACCTGACAAAGTGGGCTTTCTTGCACTGGTTATAGCACGCAAAGTAGTTGGTCCTGCATTTACTTACCTTGTCACACTCATTTTACTTTAAACACCAGTATTTCAACCAAACAGCACAAAAACGTTTAATTGTATTAGACACATAATACGTACGTATGCTTGAAAATAAGTTGGCAACACTTAAAGATACTACGAAAACGATCAGCTGTTTATTCGTCATTCCATTTGACCATCATTGTTACAACGACTTAGCTTAACGTATAAACTTCTTGTTGCATGTTATAGTAGTTTACGCAACGATTGCGTACAGACAGTCATAACGACAACTACAACCTTTTGCCTTTTACCTACGACCGTTTTTTAAAGTAGCCGTTTCAGTACAGTTCTTGAATTGAAAGATTTGAAGATTACAGAATTGAAAGGTATCTCATAACAGCATTGTTTACTTTCATAACAGCATAGTTTTACTCATAACAACACGGGTAACGGACCAATGACCAATGAGGTTCAAGGATTGAGAGAGTAGAAGTAAAACTGTAATGATTCGAAATTCAACTAATCAGCTGTTCGGGCCAATTTAATTGTTGATTGGTGCAATTAGTGTTTGATACAATGTTTTGTTGCATCACTGTCAGTGGCAATGAGAGGTTATAAACGAAAACATAACCTCTTTGAGAAGTTATGAGTAGTGATTTTTAGTAATTAAAACAAGTCGTAGGTAAAGTAGTGTACGCAACTCGCGTGAATAGTGTTAACGACACGAGTAGAAAATTTAAGGTACGAGCCTTACTATTACGTTCAATGCCTGTATTTAACCTAACGTAAAACGTGTTGTTTAGTGTTAGAGGGACTAATTAATTATTTTTAAGAAACATGTTTGTAAATAATGAACACAGTGAAAGTGATTATAAACCAGTTGTTGCGTGTTAACATAAACATTAGTTTGTTAGACAATTTCATTTAGGTTTGAATTTGTACATTAGCTTGTAAAACTGCTTGGTGAAACGTAATCTGCGCGTAACCTGTATAAACATACAATTGCCCATGCCCATTATTTATACGCTTTGAGTAACTGTAGGAAAAAATGTAATGTATAACCCGAGTGCAAAGTCTCTTTGCTCACTAGTTACACTAATAACTATTCTTTATCAACTACTACAGTAAAAATCGAACTCAATATATTTGACGAATCATATCGAATGCTAT